TCCCCAGTAAGCATGAGCTCCTCACCTGCAGTGGTTGGGAATGTACATGCATGCCTGCAAAGAGGGAAGACAGGAGAGAGGAAGGGAGGAAAAAGAGGAGGGAGGAGAGAGGAGCTGTCACGCTTGGATGCGTCTCCCGCTTCCTCATACCTCATTAGCAGGCAACAGGTTCTCCCTTCCTTCGAGCTTGGGCCAGTAGAGCCTGTAACAGCGGGTGAGGACGAAGACGTGAGACAAGCAGGACAGACAAGCAAGTCATTGCTCCCTTGGCCCACAAGGCGACGAAGAAGTCCACCGCTCTCCTCCTCAGCTTGTCGAAGAGAAGGCTGTACGCGTAGGCCTGCGACCACTGAGCATACGGACATGGCGCAGAGGTTGCTACCAGCAAAACGATTGGGAAGAGCAGACAAGCCCAGGCGAAGGAGCCGAGCATGAACATCAGCCCGATCTTGCAGTTCGCGTCACAAGGAGCAACCGAGAGACAAGACTCACAGGCACGCTCAAGGACTTTCCTTTCACTTTGACTTGCCCGAACCTCGAGTATGTCGGGAGCTTGTTCGCCTCGTCGAACTGCTCACAGTGAGAGGTTGAGAGGGGGAGGTGAGGATGGATGCGAAGAGGCAGAAAAGGACAGAAGCGATGAAGAGAGAAAGAGGAGAGGAGGAGGAGAGGAGGAGGAGAGGAGGAGGAGAGGAGGTAATCTTACAGCAGTGGCTGTCGCCTTCACAGGCACAGGTCCTCCTCGACAATGTCTTGTCGGCGTATATTTCTTGCAGGATGCAAGCTGGCGCTGGCTTGGGGAAACATGAAGAGAAGACAATTGAAATGCTTGAGAGCTCTCGATAATGCATCCGAGAGAACAGGCGAGCAGGAAGTAACTGAATCTCATCTTGAAGCTCATGAATATGAAAACAATAAACCTGCGACAGAAACGTCAGCTCTCATCCTCGCAGTGAATCAAGCAGGAATTCGTGGATTGTGCAGGTTTAACTACATCCAATTTCTATCTTTCTGCGGTTTACTCAACTCATTGCCCTCCTCTTTCTCCACTTCTACTCATTAGCACCTACTCTCCATATTTCTCGCTCGCTCCCTCCATCATTTTCGCGCTCAACACATGTTCTCCTCGATCAGACCTCTTCATCACTTCATCTCAGTCTCTTTCCCTCCGTCCCTCCCTCCCTCTCTCGCATGCTCGCGTCCTCCTCGTCCTCCTCCTGTCATGGCGGCCACCATCGCCATGACAGCATTCTCTATCCCACGGCCGTTTATACGGTTACATCTCTACTTACTGAAAATGAACGGTATAACGGAACGTAACTGTCAACATCAGTGATGACGTAACGGCGTTGAACCAACCGTTCAACCGGGTCAGTGACCTGCCGTCACTACTTGAATGGCAGCCACGGGTACCGGGCCTGGCTCGTCGCACCGGTGAACTGCTTCAGCTATCACTGACTCCTTCAAGTTGTCACCTCTTCTGAGTCACAGTACTCAGTCACTCCTGATTGTCACTGACTCGGTTCAACGGTTGTACGGCATCAAGTTGGAAGCTCACGACTCGGTCACTATGAGGGCAATCACAGGCTGATTGAAATGATTCAAAAAAAAGGCTGCAACAAAAGCAGTACACACCAACTAATATACAACGAAAGGCTACGAATCTCATTCATTAGCTGCGTCCTGTTGCTCGGCACTCTGTTGATTCTTGCGAACGATGTCAAGCTGATCCTCCATGGTCCCCTTCGAGATTCTGCTCATCCCACTGTGGGTCACCAGCCAGTGGCAATCGGCAGCCTGCACCAACTCCGGTTGGAAAGATGAGGTGAGGAACTGGAAGGAAAGGTAATCAGATGGCAGGAAGATGATTTAGAAGTCGGAATACCTGCACTGTTGACTCGCCGTTGCCTTGCTTCAGGTTTGAAATCATCTGTGCGATCGCCGAACGGTACATAGGATCCAAATTTGCATCGACCTCATCGAACAAATAGAAAGGAGCAGGATCGCATCGTTGAATGGCGAAGATTATCGCCAGCGCCACCACCGACTGAGAAGGGAGGTTTCAACAAAAAAATCAAATCCAAAAGAACACTTTACCTTCTGACCACCAGATAGCGATCGCATTACACGCACTTCACCACCAGCTGCAAACTTGACTTTTACACCAACTCCGGTGTATCGCCGCAGAGGACCAATCCTTGATGATGGGCCTGCTTCGTTTTCATCCTCTGCGGAAGTTCCTTGAGGAACGTCTTCAGTTTTCATTACGAGTTCTCCTGATCCTCCTGGAACTATCTGGCTGAAGACCTCTGAGAAATTTCTGCAAGAATATGTTTCACTCCAAAAGACCAGTGCTGACTTGCTCTTCTCGTGCATACCTTGCAACCATCCGGAAGGTCGTCTGCAGTGCATCGTCTTTCTTTTCATCCAGCTTCCGAATTAATTCGCGAATGGAAACAGCACCCTTCTCTAGCTCATCCTTTCGTTCCCGGAATTTTTCTCTCTGCAAGGGATGCAGTCAATCCATTTGGCAGTTTGAATTGGAAGACAACCTGTTCCGTGAATTGATTGAATTGATCCAAGGCCTTCTTGTTCACATCCTTAAATCCTTTCAATTCTTCAGTTACACGTGCAAGCTGCGCCTCCAGTTGCTTCTTGTTGCTATCCTTGTACCTGGTAACATAATCAAGGCAAAATTATAGACAACGAGCAAATCATCAGTACTTGTCAAAGGCCTCGGGCAGGGAACCTAGATCTCTCAGCTGCGCTTTGGCTGAATCCAATTCATTCTTCAAACGGTTTCTCTTGTCAGCCAATTGATCGAGCCTTTTCCTGCTCGATTCGACTTCGTTGTCCTGCTTCTTCAATTTCGACTTGACTTCCTTCAATTCACTCTCTTTCCTATTTGTAGCAAGATTTGATCAATTGACAGCAAACAAAAGCATATTTTTCTGCGACATACCGCACTTTGTCTTCCTTCATTTCAGAGATTTGCTTCTCCTTGTTCTCCTTACTTGTAATGCAATCCTAAAGTTGCCGCATACTCAGCCGGCACGAAAATCAAAAACTGACGAGATAACCTTGTATTGTTGGCTCAACGTTTCCAATCTTGCTTTCTCGACATCTAATACTGCAAGATTTGCACGGCTGTCTTGATTGTACACTTGAGTTTCCAAAGTCTTCATTTCACGGTTGGCTTCACTAAGCCTGAATTCCAGTCACAAGATTGGTAAAAGAAATTGCAGAAAATCTCGAACTTTGCTTCTAATGCAACTTTTTCTCGTTGGAGGTCGCCAAGTTCTTGATCTGCAAGTTTCTGCAATCTGGATAATTTTGTATGTTCTTCCAAGAGTCTCTCCAACTCTTTTTGCTGAAGAAAGCATTAAAAGAAGATCGATCAAGCATATCGTTCTCACTTGTTCCGCAGTCAGAGCCTGTGCGAATGGACTTTTCAATTGAGCTTCGAGCCCTTTGATTTTCAGTTCTAATTCAGAGATGTCTGATTCGTTCTGATATGTTGTCAGACGCGAATCTTTATTTCTTTTTTTCAAACCTTTTTCAGCATGCTCCCTTTCGACTTGATATCTTCCGCGTCATTTTCGATTCTTGATAGCTCTTGTTCTATCTTGGACTGAGCTCCCTCTATGGCCTGCAGATGCAATTATATCGAAGTTAAGAGAATCATCCAACTTTTGAACTTGCATTACCTGGGTTATTTGTCTCTCCTCATTCTTGATTTTCGTCAATTCTGTTGTGAGGTTTACTTGAGCTTGTTGCAACTTTTTGATCTGCTCCTCAATATCTTTCTCCTCATCTTGCATTTGTTTGATTTTCTCATTTTCAATTTTCTTGGCCTTGTTGAGTGTAATCTTTGACAAAGAATGATCATAGTAGCCACCACGAACTGCACCCTTTTTGGCGATTTTGTCACCATCGATTGTGACGCACCCAATGTTGTAGCTCTTGCGATAATGGGATGCTACTTCCGTATTCTTGCAAAGCAGCGTTTTACCGAAAATTTCTTGCATTGCCGGCTTAAACTTTGCATCGTACCGTAGACAGTCCAGAAGGGGTTGTGCATCATTTGCATCCTTCGCAACTCAATCAATGGTTGTTTCAACACAGGAAAGACAGGAAAGTACCTTGGGAAATTCGGGGACCTGCACGCGAAGACGATTCAAAGGGAGAAATTGCATTCTTCCAGTCCTGGAATGCTGAAGTGCTTGCACCAGAGTTGATGCAACTTCTTCATTCTTTACCACGACATTAAAAAGTCTTTGTCCAGCTGTCTGAATCGACGAGTGAGATTCACATGTAAATCTAGACTGCAAAACACCTGTTCAACAGCGATGTTGTATTTGTCGTTGCATTCAAACAACCCAATTACTGGCCCGTAATAACCATCAATCTGCCGCATTAATCGGTCAACAACTGCAATGAAATAAAAAAAAACTACAGTACTTTTTTCTCTTCACAATAACTGTCGAGGAAGCGAAGAGCACGCACAACCGTATTTGGAATGTGGTCATGTAATTTGTTCACGATCCGGCTTTGACAAGCGTGTTAAGGTATGACACAAGATAAATCAAGACAAGAATAGCTACCTGACATCACCTCCAGATTGCTCAATCTGGTTTTGAATGCCATATTGTCTGTGCTGCAATTCCTTTATCTTCTTACTGTACTCGAACTGCTCTGAGTTGATCTCTTTCTGCCTGTTCAGACCCGACTCTTTCTGCTTAATCTTTGCCTGGTTCTGTTCGCGCAACTCCTGAATAGATTTCTCTGCTTCCTGGATTTTCTTCTCATGAGATTTGATGGCATCTTTGAAATTCTTCTCATCTGCAACACGCCTGCGCTTTTCCTCCTTGAGATTTGCAATCTCACTTGAAAGGTACTTATCTCTCTGACCTTTGCTGTCGAATTGTGTTGCATTCTGTATAGCAGTCAGAGTGTTCACTTGCAGGTCCACTTGTGAAAACTGCTCCTGCGCAGAATCGGATTCTGCTTGCTTCACACCAATCTTGGGTTCCAACTTTTGAATTTCTTTCTCTGCACTTGCAATATCTCGTTTGAGTTCGGCGATCTTTTGCTCCGTCGTTTTCTTCTGGACTGCATCACGACCAGCATCTCTCTCCAAGTGTTGGACTTTGTCACGTTGGGCGTATTCTTGGGCAAGAAGTTCCTCGGAATCTTGATCAAGCGATGCCTAGAATCCAATTACATTAAAACCATAAGAGGCTCCAATAGAACCTGTTCTTTCTCTAGCATTTCAAGTCGCTTTGAAAGAGACTCAAGTTCTCGTTCGATACTTTGACGATTCGCCAAAAGAACCTAGAAAATGTAAGCCATTTTCCCTCAAAATATTCAATTACATGTTGCTCTTCATCGGTCTGTCCAGAATCCAGTCTCAGATCTCCTCTCTCTTTGTCGATGTCCGCAATTTCTTTATTGAAGCCCCGAACTTTCTGGGAAAGCAGCGCATGATGCAATGATCGTCGTTCTTTGTCCAGGGAATAGTATTGCGAGAGTTCTTCCTTCTCCTTGTCCAACTTGTCCAGTCTTGCTTGAATCATTGCAAGGTTCTATAAAGACAAAATACATCAACCATTTTCCATCTCGACACTAAGGAATACCTTGTTGATCTCCGTCATTTTCGCGTCAGACTCTTTCATGATCTTTTCAGACTCGGCTTTCTTCTCTTCGTACACGTTCGTTCCCGCAACCTCCTTCAAAAGCGCCAAGCGCTCTTTATCTTGCATCTCGGTAATCTTCGTCACCTTTACCTCGTTTGTCAGTAGTTTGCAAGTCTTCAAGTCTTTGAAAAATCCACCTTGCCCTGCTCGACGATATAGTACGGGTTTGATTTCGAAAATCCAGCAGTTTCCAGCATGTTTGCAATATCTTGTTTGCTATTCATCATTGTTACCGATATCTTTCAACAAAGACGATTGTACTCACGTCACATGCTTTTGATCGACAAAGTATTCATCCTTCTTTAGCCCAATCATACGTTTGATCGTGACCTCATCTTTTTCATTCTAGAAAAAAATCGATCACCAAGTTATGAGCACAATCAAATTTGTACGATGAGATCTTACGTCTATCCTATGGTCCGAGTTGTCGAAAACGATCTCCACGTAGGCGTTGACAATGTTAGCACCAGCTCCTTCCTGAGAACGGTTTAACCACAAGTCACAACAAAATAGCAAATCCTACATTTAGCAATTTCGCTCGTTCATCTGGTCGCATATTGGAATAAGCATCACTAAGCACGAACCGGAGTGCTGCAAAACGCTAATGAGAAGAAACCGTGCTCAGAAATACGCAGAATTGGAACCTGCAAAAAAGTTGCTTTTACCAGAGCCATTGTACCCTACAATGCTATTATGTAGTGGGCTCAACGGACCGCAAATCGTCTTCTCTCTGTACGATTTGAACCCATGAATTCGTACATACTTGATGTGCATGGTCGTCCCTGCTGTCAACCAAGTCAGAGAGAACCATGTCACAAAGCTTCCAGGAGAGGTAACAGAAATGAGCCATCAGTCTTGCAAGACATCTTCAGAATCTCCAACTCAATAGTATCAAACCAAACGTTCTCGACTGTCAGCTTTTACCGGGTATTTCATTTCTCGGCAATCAAACAAAAGCTGTGGTTTTCTGCATTTCGGCACGAACAATTCATTCTAAAAGTCATCAGAATGGACTGACCATACACTTTCAGTCATTTTGTTAGCATCCTTGACCCCTATCTCTCTTCTCGACTTGAATTTCATCCCACGGGTGACCAACTATTCAAACCTCTTTTCCTCCTTTCACTGGCAATCAGCCTCCTCTTCATGCTCAAATATTCATTCAGTATCTCCATTTTCATCATCTACATCTATCTTCCCTCCTTATTCGCCGTCCCTATCATCTTCATTGCCCGCACACCTTCCCGTCACCGCCTCTGAGCTAGTGCATTGTGGGTTTGTGGCGATTGGCGGGAAAACTCGAATGCATCTTCCCAGGGGGTGGGTGAACTGTGCTCCCTTGGGTAAGGGTTGGGTACTTTTGCTCAATTGCGGGGGTACACAAGGTCAATTCTGTTGTGTCCATTTGCCTAGGGTGGGGTCATCTTTTCTTGGGACGGGGGTGGGTGGCCTTTCCCGCCCTCAGAGGAGGGAGGGGCCTCATAGAAAAATATCTGTAAAATAAAAAAAGAATTTTTTTTAACTCTTGGAACCACAAAAGATGGTGAACCGTGGTCATTTACATGGGCCCGGAATCACCTGATTTCGAAAAGGACCCCACCCTTATGCCGAACTGCAGGGTCACCTAAAAGCTTATTTACACGGTGATACAATGTTTTAAAAGCAGCACAAGTACAAACCAAAAGGACATCTTATAATCCTTATTCCAAATAAAAACTGTTTTTTAATGTCAAAGAGGGGGGTAGGGTCTGATTTGGCGTGATCACCCACACTTCCCTAATAACCATCATACACATTGAGGGGTACTTGAAGAACATGAGGAGCAGGGGTGGATGGTCCATAATGACCCCCACCCGATCGTGTGGACACGGAGAGAGGATTATCTCCGAAATGTCGAAGCTCGTACAGTGTCGGATGGGGCAGAAGGCCAGGAAGGGAGGGATAGAGGGGGGGGGTGGAGGAGTGGAGGAATGCAGGAGGATAGAACTCAAGCATACCATTTATGTCATTTGTTCCCTAACGTAAGTTCTGCCATAGGCAGTCCAGAAACACAAATCTGAACTGGAACGATTAGGACCTTTAACCCCACAATTCGTCTGGAAGAGAATTGATGGTAGAGATGATGCTATAGAAATATGAAGTATGATCCATGCACGAATACATAGGCACAGTGCAAGCAAGCTTGAAAACTATTGCAGTCCATGTGCGTTCGGAAATGCAAAAAACCAAGCAAAAATAGAAACGAACATGATTGCCTGATTGAACTCGGAAAAGAGGCGTCTGACTCTTGCAATACAGATTTTTCATCGAGCTGTACAGCATGTGGTATGAACCTGATTCCTTTCTTTCAAGCGTTGATCAGAACCCCGAGTCCTTCGAGAGTTTTGATCTTATTCGTAATCCTAGTCTTCGAGACTGCGAATCTCACGCCTACAACGATCATGACAACAGCCAGAATTATGAGAATGTCCAAAATCATGCATTGGATGCTGCAATGGTCATGTCTTTGCAGGAAGCCAGCTCGCCTTTGAGTCATCTGAAGAGTTTTTGCTGGTTGAACAAACTGGAACAGCAAGTCACAAGCCGCATGGATTCTTTTGTTCGGAGATTCGGTGGGGGGGCGGAGTTGCCTCCTACCCAATATGATGCTTCTGCCTCAGACTTCGCCTCAAACACGGAAAGAACAGCCATTCGATCACGTCAGCGGAATCAACGAATTTGCTATTCAGATTGCTACAAAGAGCACACATCACCGAGGAGAATGAGAGCTCTGCATATTGCTGCTACTCACCACATTTTTCCTGTTACAAGTATCTCCAACAGGCCTTTGGAAGATATTTGTTCAACGTCATCATTCGATGTGAAATTTTGTCGGGAATGGGATCGCACAGCACTTTGATGCCCTTTTGAATGTCAAGAAACAATTGACTGTACAGCATTCTTAATCGCAAGTTCCGCGATGTAGCGAACAAAATCTTAGATGCATAGTTCCTTTAAGAACTATACTATTCACACAAATGTGTGCTTTACTAATAAAACAAGCCCTTCAGCATGAAAGGCATCTCATCGAAAGCCGTTGTGCAGGACATCGACAATCTTTCAGAACTCACGCTTTCAAGGGCTCATCTTCCACAAGTCGTTTTTTTGCAGCATGTTTAGCTGCAGCTGTTTTGAGGCGTCAGAAAATCAAAATGCTGGAGATTGCAACTCACGTGTTAGCTTCATTCATCTCAGGTGCGCAATATGCTCCACGCGATCCCAATCCGACAGCAGAATAATCACCCCAAAGGTCACCCTGTTCACAGCGAATGGGGTGAGCAAGAAACAACGGGACAACATTCCGATACCGTTCCGACAGCACCGCCGTATTCACCAGGACCAGGAGGCAAGTCGTCAGGACCGCTTACCAAGGATTGAGTCCAGACAGCATTGGAGAGCTTGTGAGCATCTTGGATCAGGGCGAACATTCTAGAAAGAACATTCAGTCTTTGAACCCTCTCAACACAAAACAAAGGTCATGGTGAGTTAATCGTCAAGTGGCGTTTCAATTGAGCTTCTACCTCTTGTCAGTCCCTGAAATCACGATCGGAATTCATAGAAATTGTGAAAAGGCCAAAGAAGCAGAGCAGAAAATCCTTGATTCCAGCTCCGCCCAAACAACTCTACACTCATCATACATATTGCAATATCAAAGTCAGGTTCTAACACTCAGTCGTTTTTCTCCATGCATTCAACCTTCGCTATCGATGGCAAAAACAAGCAAGTTGACTCTTTGTAAGCATCAGGCACATCCCTTCTTCGTTTGGTATGCTTCCTATATCGCATGATTCAGCGTGATTGACTACTATTTCACTATTTTCAACTCTGATCATTTTAGGACAACTTATTCATCGTTTTCTACGTTGAATCCTCTTGCTTCGTCTCCCCATGCAGCTTCTCGTTACTGACGACATCTGCATTCCCCTCGTCTATTTTCGTCTTGTCGATAACCCCACCCTACTCAGAAACTGCCAATTAGTGGGTGAAGGTACAAACTTCGTCAATGAAGGGCCTTTCAAGGCAAAGGTAGGGGTACTTATCCCAACCTTAAGAGTACGGGTAGTTTACCAGGGAGAAAGGAGGGTATCAATGTGATGACCAATCCACAGGGGTACTTGCAGGGAGAAGTAAGGGTGTTATGATGAGCCAAAAAGATGGGGTATTTCGAGTATGAAAAGGAGGGGTACCTGCAAAAAGGGGTACCACAAAGATGTAAAAGGGGGTAGTGGTTGTAACCCGTCAGGATGGTAAGGGATTGGGTCCCGATCACCGCGTATTGGTTCACAATGTTGAATATTTACTTGATAGATATTAAAATATCAAAGATCAATGTTGAAATGTACTCGTGATATTTGAAAAATGTTAATGGTGAAGAATGTTCTGGCGGAAATAGCAGGAGGAGGCCGCAGGCTTTTTCATGCTAGTGTGACGAGGTGTAGGCTAGAGGAGCAGAAGAGAAGTAGGAGAAAGGAGAACGACAGCAACAACAAGTCGATCAAGAGATCAAAGTTCGAAGCTTGATACACACTCAAACACAAGAGTCACTGGCAATGAGGCTCTTCTTCGCAATGTTCGTCGCCGGCCTTGCCTCCTGCAACGCTTTTTCGCCTTCTGTCCTTCCAAGCCGCCTTCCATTGAGGACAGGCAAAGCTGCACCTCAAATTCCTCGTCACACGCCCAAGATACAAGGAGTTAGAACCGTGCGATCAGCGCTGGATCCGTCGTCAGTCCATTATGCATCCGACTTGCTTCAACACGACGTCGGGTTCATCGCTTCGCAGGTCCATCATTCCTTCATGCATTTGGGTATGCCAGTGTACGTGAGCTCCTCTGTTCTCTCTTCTGACAACCTTCCTCGCAGCCGATGCTGGAGCAGCAGCTGCTGATGTAGTCGACATCTCCAAGGTCACCTCTGGGGTCTCGGGTACTGGATTGACCAAGCCCATGGACCTGCCCTCGCTCCCCTCGCTCCCCTCGCTTTCTCTTCCTAAGCTTCCCTCCGTGCAGCTGCCTGACTTCTGGGGCATGTGGATGGGACTGTTCAGGACTACGATCATCAAGCTCCATGACGTCACGGGGAACTACGGCTGGTCTATTACTGCCATCGTCCTCATGATCAAGGCCTTGACCTATCCTCTCAACTATAAGGTGTACGCAGCTCAGTTCGAGATGCAAGCCATCCAGCCAGAGATTGACAAAATCAAGGAGCAGTACAAGGACAACCCTGACCTTATCAACATGAGAACCAGTGTCCTCTTCGCGGAGAAGGAAGTGAACCCCCTTGCTGGCTGCCTTCCCATTCTCATTCAATTTCCCATCTTCATCGCCCTCTACCGCACTCTGCTCAACCTCGGGAAGGATCGCATGCTCGGAGAGCCCTTTCTCTTCCTTCCTTCTCTGGAAGGACCAGTTGTCGCTGGACTGCCAACGGACTACGTGGGGGTACGAGAAGACGCTCCCTGGCTGCTGCAGAACTGGCAGAACGGAGCTCCGCCTCTTGGATGGCACGACACTATCATCTACTGTGCTCTTCCCATCCTCATCGTAGTCGCGCAGCTCGTCTCTACCTCCATCACCAAGGCTGGACAGCCAGCGAAGAAGCCCTCGGAGCAGAAGGGCGACGGGTCGGCCGAGACGCTCGTTGCCATCCTCCCGTACCTTATCGGCTGGTTTGCGCTGAACCTTCCGGCTGGCTGCTCCTTGTACTGGTTCCTCAACACCGTCCTCACAACAGCCATCCAGGTGACATAAGCTGTGAAACTGCGGGAGCAGAAGCTGACGTGGCGAAGGTGTACATCAAGAACCAGTTCAAGCCGCAGCTGGAGGCAGCTGCCGCTCATGTTGGTAGGAAGCGCTGGAAGGGACCCGTGCTCGTCTGATAGCTATGCAGACTTCGGCATCCAGACTGAGGCGGAGAAGAAAATGCAAGAGCAGATCAACGAGGTTGAAGATGGCACAGCTGGGTGCTCAAACATGACAGTTTGGTATCAGGAGGGATGGATCAGAGGCGTGAAGGCTGTGTACAAGAAGTTCGACGACTTCCTTGTATCTTGTCTTTCTCCGCAACCGCAGACCCTCACGCTCTACGCAGGGCATGGGCCTCCCAGAAGTCTCTGAGAAGCCCGAGAAGAAGATGGAGGAGGAGGACAAGGTTTCGATCTTCGACGCCAAGTTCTGGATCAAGGACGACACGGTAAGGAGGTCAGATACCTAAGACAGTTGGTTGACGCGGAGGCAGGAGGAGGGAAAACTCAAGCCCGAGGAGATCGATGAGGTCAGGGCCAAGTTCCTGGCTGCCCGCGCAGCACGTCAGGCAAAGAAGGCTGCTCAGGTCAGTGAGGAGGAGGGAGAATGGTGGCAGGCCAAACGAGGGAGAGGAGAGGAGGCTGACATGCATGCAGGCGAAGGCATCGGAGGGGCTTGCGGCGTCTGGGTCCAAGAGCGAGTCGGAGTGAAGGGAAGGGAGAGAGGGTGAACTCGTTGTAAAGTAAATGACGGACCTCGTGCGCTGTGTGGTAGAGAGGAGCAAAGGGCGGGAGCGGGAGCAGGAGCAGGAGCAGGAGCAGGTGATAATTGAGATTCATGATGTTGCTGGTGCGATGGGAAGGAAAACAGACGGACATGCTGGGAGAGATGAGACGGGATGGACGGGGAGAAAATCAGCGAATAGTGGTGGGTGTGCTCATGGCCAAGAATATCTTTTTCACCGAGTCAGTTTCCAACGCCAAAGTCTACATGAATTTACATCATCTACGCATGCTGATCTTTCCTTCCCGTGTTCTCCTAGTCCCTCCCGTCCTGGTTCAAGTTGTTCGACTCTTGCCCTCACGCTCCTGTCCTGGTGTAGAAGGCGACAGCTGGTGGCTCTGCTCCTCGAGTCTCACAACACGGGGGGAGAGCGATTGTCTGCCGCTGGCTGGCCTCCATTATGCTTTCTTTCACCTCCATCCTTCACTGCTGCTCCAGGAGCACCACCAAAGGTACTCATATCCTGAGGGATCGGAGTTATGGGGTAGGGAAATGCGTTGTAGCCCATCTGCATCTCGTTGGGAAGCGCCATCGGCCATGGCCAGTGTGCAGGAAGAGGGGGGTAGACAGGGTAGTACCCCCCCGCTCCAGCGGGGTAGAAGCAGGCAGGATGCATCATCTCCTGCGGTTGCGGCACCATCCACTGCCCCATCTGCCCCTGCATCTCAGCCCAGCTCTGTGCCTGAGGCATCACATGCAGAGGAGGCATCCCCATCCCCATCCCCACATCCATGATGCCGTATCTTCGCTCCTGAAAGGACTCCTCGTAGGCATTGCGATTCTCAAACCTGCTCCCCGCACGTCCTTCCCTCCCATTCAAGCTTCGTCCCCCTCCTTGTGACACTCGCCTGGAGTAGCCTCCCTCTTGCTTGCTGCCATCAGAGCCCTTCCCTTTCACTTCACATCCCTTCCCTTGCTTTGTACTCCCTGTCCTCGCAGACGCTTGATCCGTCTTCTGCGATGTCTTCCTCGTACTTTCCTTTTTGTTCGTGTTGTCTGTTGCTTGTCCTTCTTTCCCCTTCTGCAGCGAGCTGATGTTTTGAGCTCTTTTCACTTCTACTGTCCTGTCGTTGAAAGCGAGCAACCTTTGCCTTGCTGCTTCTTCTGCTACCTGCCAGCATCTATCAACATCTCTCAACGAGAGCCAAGAAGACTTGAACCTCGACTGAGTCGAAGGTGATAAAACCAAACCCTCTCGATCTAGAGTGTGTAAGCCTGTCCACCACCTGGCAATTTCGTTATCATCTCTCAATGTGCATCACAATGCTTCACTCACCAGCACAGCATTGACCACTCTCCCCGCAAACGTCTCGTCGGCCCACTCACGGAATGTAGTGTTGGTGACGTCAGTCGGCAACCCTCCGACAAAGATCTGCCGCTCAAGACGAGGATGGCGGCTTCCTTCTGACTGATCCGAAGACATGGACTGATCAGGCACTTGCTTGAGATCTGAAGGGTGGCTCTCCTCTCCGATGGCTGTTAGGAACATGGTTTGACTTGTGTCTGGCTCTTCTTTCAAACTCATGCTTTGGATTATGTCACAAGCTCCTTGCTCCGAGGCCAAGAAATGCTGCATGCTGACATTCATGTCATTTTCTTTGTCTGTGATCGTTATCTGTTCCTTCAAGCTGAGTCCCATTTCCTGCACAACCATGTACAACCAAACCTGCCAGACGACAAGATGTCAGACTAAGTCAGAGTAACAAGTCACAAAGCTGTCCGCCAATCAATACCCCAGAAAAACCAGAGTTGTTAGTTACTTATTCAGAAAGGTTTTGACAACAATAATGGTCATGGATGGAAAAAACCGCGAGCAGAAGCAACACTTGGCACACAGGCAAGTACACAACGCGACACAAGACTTGAATGCTTCTAATAGTATCAATGTTTCGGCGAGCCCTGAGACAAGCAATGCATAGTTATCATATGGTGAACATCCGCAACAAACTTCAGGTTGTTAACCTCCTCATCAAAGAATGATCACTTCTCGTGAACCTTGACCAACGTCAACTTTTCCAGTCACTTTTAGCACACCCAAATTTTGATACCCAAAAGATTTCCTCTCTAGCACGTCAATCCTTGCAAGAGCCACTCTCTCTCTTCTTCATAGAGCTCTCTTCCTTGCTTTCCCGTCTCTCCCTCTCTGCCCTTAATGTCTTCTCTGGCCATCGCCCCGCGTCCAGCGCATGCCACGATCCCGCCATTGGGGAAAACAGAAGCTGGGGAACGTCTTCTCCCCCCCTCCTTGGAAATCTTTCGTATATTTCATCAAATCTCAGCGTCATTTTTCAATGGAGGAAGAAGAGTTTCAAAATTATGCACTACCCCACCCCATTTCATTATAGCCTACCTTCCCCGTTCCACCCCCGTCTCCCCAAGTTTGTGGAAGGGTCCTAGGAAATCCAACAGTACCTATGGATACTTCCTAGGGTCTTATGGAATCGATTTGACTAGACCTATCTAGCTCATAGGACATGGTCCTAGAAAGAGTTCTAGGACATATGACTCAACTAAAATGCACTTTGCTCATACTTACTACAGGGCTATAAATAAGTAAATGTATCAGTACAAGGGAAATGGGTTTAGGTAAATTTTAGGTACTCAGTAAGTCACAAAACTGACCGTATAGGCTGCCCCTAGTTATTTTTTGTACTGGGATGTCAAACTCCGAGTGGCCCGGCAGATCGCCTGGACTGACGGTGCGGCAGTCAGACACTCGCAGTCACCTTCACAGAGTCACAATCGGACTCCGAGTCGACGACGCCGCCGGGGGCTGCGGCCCGGCCCCCCCCGGCCCGGCCGCATATCCGACTCCAGCAAGTCGCCGAGTTCCAGTTGACCATTTCAAAGTGCTGATGCCGGCCGTCACATGATTCAGAGTGGAACAATGGTCTCGAGTCAGCCACACTCACCCTGATTAGCCAACACACTGGATCAGGACTGTACAGCTTCAGACATGCTTGTAGATCTTTTTGACAAATTTTCCAAATAACACAGATTAAATAGTTCGTTTTTGGGAGACGAGCAAAATTCGCAAGCTATCATCAAAAATGTTTTACACACTGCTTGATCTTGTTGTCCTGCAGTTCAACATGACAAGTTCAGAGTGTTCCACCGATTTGATGAAGCATGGCGTCAATTGCGTCGTCATCTTCCATGTCAAGTTCCTCCGGTGTTTGGTTTTCACGCAATCTTTGCCCGTCAAAGAGGAATCGAATTCTGCCAAACGTGGTCACCAATATGCAATGATTGCGATTCGAATCAGAAATATGAAACAAACTCACTGGTCCATTTGCAAACTTTGCCTGGAGCAATAGGCTTCCATCAGTTTCTTGAGGGGAGTCTTCCTCTTAATTTTGAAATGAACAACATTTCCATCCTAGGCACAGGTCAGGCTCTTCTTGCTATTCTTCGCTGATTATTGCACCTGCCCCTTGACCTTGAGATTGATGTGTTCGCTGCCTTCTCCGCCATCTTCGCCTTTCACTGGTGGTTTCTTCTCCCCATCGGCCATTGTGCTAGCTATTCGCTCCGGACAACTGCAGAGAATAGCCCGTTAGCGAGGGCTACATGGTCGAGAAAACTAATTTCTCATCATCACGCTTTCTGCACGTCTCCTCACTCTGAATACTGAGTTGAAACTTTCCACAAGTGAACCAAGGGAAATGTCTGATTGATCTGAACAGCTTCTAAATGATATAATTCCTCATCTGTTTCGCATCAACTTTCACCGAACTTGATTGACTTTCTGATTCCGTGCTAACCAATGTGGAAGAAGGCTAAAAACTGCGGGCATCTTTTACTTCTTGGCTTCCCTGCATGCAATCATCCCTGAAATGTTGTAGTCGGCTACATATCTGTGACATCGAGACGGTAGCTCATCACATGAGTGCGCTGGAACCTTCCTACACAACTAATGTTCCTTGTGTACACTATTTTATCCCTTGGATAAGTTTTTCTCGCATATTCTCATTTGCCCTCCCTACATCAATTTGACGGCAACTATGACCACCGGCTTCAAAAATCTTCAATTTCTCTTTGAAGTCATGGACTTCAATGATCTAAGACGTATCTTGGGTTCACCTCTATCTCAGTTATCCACTCACTGCCGAACCCTCGCAAACATTTGATTCTCATTACTGAACGATTGCTTCCCCATGCCCATGTTATATCTTGCCTCCTTGAGCTACATCGTTTTTGATCTCCCGGTTTCACTTTCTCTTTGCTCTCAAGGCCCCAACCATGCGACTTCCATTGTCGAACTTGATGAAACGAACTTTCTCACGCTTCTCATCTGTAACCCACGTCCTCACTCATCCTCCTTTGCCTCCAACCATCTGTCCTTTGCTCTCGTCTTTACCATGTACCCTATCCTCGCATGATTGTTCCTCCCCCCACGTTCCCAGCCAGCCCGTCCCCCATTGACCTTGTTTTTCTGCTCGTTTCCTCCCTCTCCCTCTTCCTCTCACGCGTCTGTTCCCGCCAAAACTTCCTTTAGATGCCGACGACCAACGTGTAATCTACTGCAAAAATATTATAAGATTCATGGCCAGATTGGCTATAAAGGTTTTAGATATACAAATTAAATTGTGTTGTTACATAATTGGTGTATCAGTTGGAGGTATTTATTACCACAAGAATTATTAGTTATCACATACATTCCCAGGAGCCCACAATAGACTCCAATTTTCTGGTACGAATTAGTTATAAAAATCTGAACCACCCCTCCGTTGTCCCTCTCTTGGAGATGTCTCAGTGACCCCATCGCCCGACAGGAGTACCCCGTCTTCTTCCATCCGAACTCTTGTTAAGAGGAGGGGTGGGGTGAATTCTCGACTGTGGTGGTGTTGAACGTTGGCGTTGGCAGACCAGAAGGTTTCACAAGCTAGGACAAGCATGATATCCTGAGGGTGGGGGTGGATAAAAGATTCCATACTGTTTGGTAGGGTATGGGTAAGTACCCCTACCCCCTCGATCATCTTTTTCTTAGCCCCAGATACCATCAGGAATCATGCCGACCCATTTCATGTCGGACCCAGAGGCATGGGTACTTTGATATCAAAAGGAGGGGTACTTCTCAGGGTACTTCTCTGGGTACTTCTTGAGGACTGGTGCGTTAGCTAGGTGGCTGGGCGACCGAATTAAACGCTAATAAAAAGACGACATACTAAAAGTAGTTGTTATTTGCCTATGTAAAACTTGATTGAATATATTTCAGATGCAATTTTGAGTTCGTGGAAATACAGATTCTCAGCCCAACATATTGATGGTACAAAATAATAATATAATTAGAAATTCCGAGTACTGTTCCAATACATGTTGTAACCATCTGGTACTAAAACCGATACACTTTCTTACCTCGCTTGCCGTATTTCCCGTAGGTTCTCACCGCTACTTCTCCCCATCCTCCTGCCTTGCCGCGTCTGTTCACTTGCAACTCGTCTTGTTGCCCTGCTCTGATAACTGATTGACTGTAAATCCCCTCCTAGCCTTTTCTTCACTGTGCTCTCTCTCACGTGCTTCACTGTTTTCGGGCATCTTGGTGGAGGCGAACCCACTTGAATTTCTCTTGCTTGACGAAAGTATGCCGACGGACAAAAAGAGCATTGAAGTGACAATATTGACATCTAAGAAAATCAAAGAGAAAAACCCGAACATCACGAGGTCAGTGATGAAAACTCGTGGATTCTCGCTGACAATTTGGCTTGGATAGCCCACTCATTTTGAAATACAAATCATCTCTGAGTTTACAGGACATTTTGACCGAAGTGAACAAGAAGTTAGGACTATCAGGAAAAGAGGTAATCTCCACAAATTATCCATACGCTTTGAAGTTTTCTGATGCTTGTTGTCTAAAGGGCTTCAAACTCTGCGCCGCGACTGGGCGTGGGAGGGAGCTGGCGGACAATGACGAGCTCAACTCGTGTATAAGCAATGGGAAATGTAGGTTGCGTTTCGTACAAGACGGTAAGCTTCACTGGTGCAATCATGGGTTTCTGATCTTTCTGCCTGGGTTGATTTCCTCTACTCGCATCAGTGAATGATGTCTGCATGGGAATAATGAGCACCGCTCCCGAAAAGCCACGATTCAAAGAGGGCGCGACATGTGACTACTCGCTACTGTCAGCCGTCGCTGAATTGCTTGACAATTCGATCGAAGCGGTGATGCGGAATGGAATGGATGAGAAAACGATTGTGATTTGTTTCAACGTCATTGATAAAACTTTCTCCATACATGACAATGGAGTTGGCTGTGAGGATCCGGAAAGATTGCTCCGGTATGGATCTGAAAAGGCAGAGGTATCAGACAGATATAATCCCAAGTGCAAGACGTTCGATAGGTACACTTGCGGGATGTTCTCACGGTATGGAGTCGGATCGAAGAAAGCAGGCCACTCCCTAGGCATAATCATCAACATCGCGAGTAAGGTCAAGGGAAGTTCATTGATCCACTCCACCACGGATCGGGACGAGGAGAAATGGGAAGCAGAGAGCTTTGAGCAATACATCGATGATGATGATGATGAAATTAGCAAGAGCTACTGCAAGATCGACATCGATCAGTTCAAAACTTCGCTGCTCACAACCGGAGGCTCGTCAAGCACGCTCCAAGGATGGGAGGAGGTCGTGAATAATCTTGGAATGATATACTTCATGTTCCTTGGTGACAAGATGCCCGGATATCACTTTGTAGCCCGCAAAATCCTCAAGTTGTTGGATGATACTTGCGTTCACAGAGAAGGGCTCAACAAGATACGAATGAACACGAAACCTGAAGTGAAGAGGATGGAAGATGACAAGCGCAAGCTGCAAGAGGCCATGCGAGGTTGCAAGAGGGCGAAAACTTCTCCTCGCTTGAATATCAGCTGCAAGCTGATCTATCCTGATGCGACTGGACTGAGACAGGAAGTGGAGGCTTCGCTGTCAAAAAGCATTTCCTGTCTGAACACGCTGCTGAGCGACGCGGCCGTGGATTGCTTTCCCATACACATAGAGCTGGAGAAAGGCAATGTGGATCAGCAAGAGGGTGGATCGATTGCGATGGGAGCGCTCTTTTACTTCCCAAACAAGGACAACAAGGAAACCATTCAATACGTTGATCGGTTCTTTGGACACTCGTCTGGAGAGGACAGAAGGTTTCTGGTTTTCTGGATGGGGAGGTTGCTGCTAGCAGATCAATTCATGCCAGAATTTATGAAGAAGGACTTAGCAGAGAGCAAGGTTCCTGTAAAATGCCTCAAGAGAACATTTGGCATCCTCTTCCTCGACAGAGGTATCGAACCCAAATCCAACAAAACTAGTTTGAGCGACAACGTGAATGGCCAAGATTCTTACCTGGACCAATTGCGCAAAGCTCTCAACGACACCAAACTTGTCAATGCATACCATCTGTGGTTGAGGTTGTGCCACCGCAAGTATGATGACGAGTTGACCTTCGAAGACGAGCCAACGTACTGTGAAAAAGAAGGGATGTTTGTGCATCAGAAGATCAATTATTGTGGTAATGAGTACAAGATTGGGGATTACATTGAGCTGTCTGAAGGAGATGAATTTAAAAGATCCAAGCAGCCTAAAAACGTTAAAGTTGGGCAGGTGGTAAAGTTTCTCAAGGCAACCAATGATCATGAAGGTTGCAAGGGCAAAGTTGTTTGCCGCGTCCTCGAGAAGAACAATCGTTTGGAGGAAGACCAACGCTTTGAGATCCCTGATTGGTCCATGAAACGACTGAGTGATGAGGACTTTGAAGCTCGCAAGGAGAAGAACAAGTGCTCTATCGTACACAGAGTTCAATTTGTCAATGCGAGCAAGAAGTTCACAGCTGGTGATAGCACTTCTCCGTTTCAGCTCAAATGCCTCAACCACCTAGGAAAGTCCATCACCGTCGAACCAGAATGCGACCTGATAGTGACGCCAGAGGGAGGAGAAGACCAGAGGTTCAAGCTCAGATACACCTTTAGTCCCTTCCTTCCCGATGCCGACTTCTTGCAAAAAGCTGGGCAGTACACAGTTCGCGCAGTACAGCAGCAGGACAGCAGCAACCCGCTCATTTGCGATCCTTTTCGCTTCACAATTCACCCAGGAGATGTGAAGGACGTTGAGTTGCAATTGGAAGACAGAGATCTTGTGAAGATGGAGCATGGCAAGGAATCTTCGTTCAAAGTCACCTTGTACGATGAGTACAAGAACACCATCCCGCCAAAGGTCTCGCACAAGCCCAAGATTGAGGTTGCATCGGGTCTTGTCAAGCTTGACGTCGAGCATACGTTCGAGGGATACGCGATGCAGATGAAGATCGTGAGGGTGGAAAGCGAGAAATGCGGAAGGTTCTCAGCGAAACTGGTCGTGATGAGGGACGACGGGGAGGGTAAGGAGACACATTTCAACATTGAGATCAGCCATGGAGCCGCGCAATCTCTGCAGGTAGAGCAGAGCGAAGGGCTGGAGCTTATCAATCGCTCTGTCCTCCCCGAGCTGACCTGCGTTGTTCAGGATGGTTTCGGGAACAGGTGTACGAGGGTTGATGATGCCATCCTGTACCTCACGAGCGCTGACCTCCACTTTGCTGATTGTTTCATCAGCGGCAAGGTGAATCACGGAAAGCACACCTTCCAGACAGACAAGCAAGTTCAGAGTTTGTACTTCTTGAGCCCTGAATCAGGTCAGAAAGAGGCAACAAGGTGCAGTGTTGTCAGAAGTTGGGATCTCACAAAGAGAAACAGAGATGAGTCAGGAGTTGAGCTGGAGGAGACGTGGAACGAATTGATCGCCAAGCAGCTCAAACCCATCGGCTTTCTCAACCCTTTTCATGGATTCTTCTGCGTTGGGGACTGGGTGGAAGTTCTTTTCAAGTTAAAAACAGGGAGAAATGAGTACCATCCTGGTAGGATAGAGTCAGTCTGCAAGGAGCAAGGGGGGAACACTTGGCGCATCAAGTACTTCAAGCGTTCAGACAGCTCCCGTCTCCTCTTGCCCTTGCCCGATGCTAGCGAGGTCTTGGACCCCATGAGCCTCCACAGGAGAATCTTCGTACTTCACGAATCCCTCAAGGACAGTCTTGACCCCAGGGCTTTGAGCGACAGCGTCTACTTCGCGCCATGCGACGACTGTCCTCGACAACTTGGAGCGTCATTGGACGTCTTCTCGCACAGTCGAGACCAGCTGCTTCACCGGAGAGTCTCGATGGCTCTCAAGCGAAGCGGCTCGCCTTGCAACTTCTCCATCTGCCAGGGGGGGAGGACAGAGAGACGATTGAAGCAGAGCATGATGCTGCCATAGCGGACCTCCACCTCAAGGCTTGCGACGAGGCGCTGCTGCCATGCTCTGGCGACGTGAAAGTTCAAGTCAGATGTAACTGGAGCCAACAACAAGTTTTGAACTTTAAGCCCGGACATATGACAACATTGCAACTCCCGCAGATCTTAGCGAAGAAAGACGATGAATACAAACTGACTGTGAAGTATGGTCAGACTGAGAGGCAGTTGTCCTTCAAGGTGAAAGTTCGGCGAGAGGACCCGGCAAGGCTGAAGCTTGAAGTAGAAGGAAACAAGCCCATCGTAGTGGGAGAGCCCTTCACTCTCCTCGGTACCGTCTGCGATCGCAACGGGAATCAGTTCGACAACCTGAGGCAGTTTGAGTTCGATTTCCAAACATCTCGACTCAAGTTCGAGACAGACGCCCGGCAGGAGATCGAGGTCAAGTTTTGGAACAACAATCTTGAAGAGATCCTCGACGGAGGTCAAGGCAACTTTGCCTTGCACAATTCTCATTTCGTGCTGAAGAACGTCGTCATCGAATGCAAAGCAACCACGGGCAAGCTGATGATGGAGATGACAATCAGGCCGGCCTCTCGAAGTGACAAGTGCTTTCTCCTTCGAGCTCTAGAGCACAACGTCGATCTCAAGGTTGGAAAGCCATATTCCATCGTCGTGGACAAGGACTACCATACCTCCGACCTGTTTCCACTAGAAATCCCCTACAACGCTGAATACGCTTGTGACATCCGTTTCAAACTGATAGACAGACTACAGAACAACCTGTCTGACGCCTGGGATACAGTTGTCAAGGCAAACATCGGGAAACGAGAACTCCCAGCCTTGGAGAAATGGAGAGAGGAAGGAAGAGAGGTAGCATTCAGACTGACGCACCTTCCTCCCTTGCCCAAAGGCAAACACAACATGACGGTACAAGTCGAGTCGATGAATGTCAAGATTTTGAAACCTCTTGAGTTGCGCGTCATCGCTGTTGCTGGCAACACAGTCAAGCAACTTGAGTTGCAAGTTGATGAAAGAACGCAGAAGCTTGCAAAACGTGAGTCAGGAAAGCTCGACGCTGAGTTCACTGCTCGGATAATTTTCCACACGGAGGACGGGAAGCCTTTGAAAGACCCCAACTCCGAAATTCCGGACGTGAAACTCTGCATGTTCGGCTCTCGGAGGAAGGAGGAGGTGGCGACTACCTTCGGGAAGTTCGATGGCAAGCAGCTCGAGTGCAAGTTCTTCCTGGACAAGGTGGGGTGGATGGATGTGAAGGCGGAGTTCAAGGATAGCAGACCCTGCAACTCGTCAACCGAGCAACACCAGTCGAACAAATTGAAGCTCAAAGTTGAACCAGGTAACGGCTCCTCCTCTCGCCCTTCTCCATACAACATGACCGACCCTTCTTCGTCATCGCCTCCTTCCATCATGACGCATCTGTTGCAGCTCGCATCTTTGTAACTTTGTCGTCCAGGTCCAGTGGCTTCGTTCAGCATCACGGAAATCAAACTTGTGGGCGGGGACAGGAGCAATGAGTTCACCTTCAATGCCCAGGCAGTCGACGGGAATGGCAACCTGACATCATTCCATGATGGTGCTGACTGGAAGATGACCATCACCTTGAGCGTATTGGAAGAGGAATACTTCGCGATTGAGGCAGACCCCATCCAACTCTCTTCCTCCTCCTCCAGATTGCGGTCAAGGTTCAAGCTCATCCCAGTTGGAGAGCCGGAGGGAGGCCACCCATTGCTATGCAATGTCAACTTCAACGCCGAGAGCAACTTCGATCTTGCTATGACGACTTGCGGCAAGCCGGTCAACTTGTACTTCAACGACACGGCAACAGACAGCGACATGCCTGATGTGGACGCTGGAGTCGCGCAGGAAGAAGAGGAGGCAAGGAACAGAGAGAAAGAGATCTCAGAGAGTGAGAACGAGATCGCCAGCTGCAAGCACAAGATTGCTGGTTGCTTGCAGAAGATGCCTCTCAACAGCTTCTTGTCTAATCGAATCCAGGAATTCTCCCGCAAGTTGAACAACATGGAGGACGTAAATCAACGCGTCAGCTTGTGTGAGGAGTGGATCTCAGTCGCACAAGGCTGCATGCAACACAACGAGGAGGAGACGAGTCGCATCAACAGGACAGTCTTTCCCTCCTGCAAGCACGAGGCAAACGTTCCTCGCGAGAGCAGCAGCAACTGTCTTGGCTGTGTTGCCTCCCTCTTTCTCATCGATGACAGGCGAGCGTTGGAGCTTCAGACCGCCATGTCGACAGCCTTCGGCTTCGAGCTCTCCACCCTCGTCTTCGCTTCCAGGAGCCGCATGAACGACTTCCTTGACAAGGTTGCGCGCCGACCCAACGACGTCACCATGCGCGCCCTGTGCCTGGAGGGGCTCAATGAAGAGGGGCTTGAAGCACAGGAGGTCCCGGGAGCCCTGGGGAGGGCGAGCAAGTTCGTGCGGCCGACGGCAGAGGTGGCGGGTCTGAGCAGTCTTGCTCGTCGTTTCTTCGACAGGCTCGTGGTGTTTGACGAGCAAGAGAAGGCCTCCAGCTATCGTGCTGCTAGAGGCGAGCTGGCTGTGGGACTTGACGCGCCCAATGACGTGCTGACGTGGGATGGGACGAGAATCATCGGAAGGCGAGTGGATGACACGACAAGAAACGTGCTGGGAGTCGCGAACGACTGGAGATCGAGGACGCAGCAGGCGCTCAAGCACGAGTACAAGGCAGCGGAGTCGATGGAGAATCTGCTGCAGGTCAGTGAGACAAGTGTGAAAGTGATTTGTGATTTGTGATGTTTGCCGGCAGGAGATCAAAGGACACTGCACCAAGATTGTGCAGGAGGAAAAGAAGATAAGAGATCTTAAGTCTCTTCAAAATCTCTCGACGTCTATTTCTGTGGGTGATGAAAATGGCTGCAAAAATACGCCAAAGAGAGATGCTCGCCATATGGTCGAGGTAAGTGTTGAACGAAGCTGTTGTGATGGTGATGATGATGATTCGCGATGGTAATGATGATGATTCGTGATGGTAATGATGATGATTCGTGATGGTAATGATGATGATTCGTGATGGTGATTATGATTATGTGAAATGGTGGTGGTTGTGGTGGCGATGATAGTAATGATTTTCTTGCCAGGAGGACGCGGAGACTCCTCAGAGCAAGCGACCGAAATCCTCCCTCTCTTTCCCAAGTGCGAATCATTAGCTGTTGGATAACATATGATAAATCAAGTCATCTTACGTTTTTGAGTGATACATATTGTTGTCTCAAGTTTGTAAGAGATTAATGAAGTTTCATGTCTCTAATGGATGATGACTGGTGCTGGGAGACCGATCTGATCGGATCAGTAGACTATGAAGTTGAGTGCCGGATGAAGTTTGAAAGTTGAAACTTGACTGAGTTTTGAACTCGGAACTTGGTGAGAAGGCGTGTTGCAGGCGTGTAAAAAGTTCTGAAAAGGTAGGTCCGGAAGCTGGGCTTCGAAAATGACGATAGCAGAAATATGAGATCAGAGGGAAGGGGAGAAGAAGAGGAAGCAGAAGAAGGGGAAGGAGAAGGAGGAGAAGGAGGAGGAGAAGGAGGAGGAGAAGGAGAAGAAGAAGAAGGAGAAGGAGGAGGAGAAGGAGGGGAAGGAGAAGAAGAAGCAAAAGGAGAAGGAGGAAAAGGAGGAGAAGGAGGAAAAGGAGGAAAAGGAGGAAAAGGAGGAGAAGAAGAAGAAGGAAAAGGAAAAGGAAAAGGAGCAGGAGGGGGAGGAGGAGGGGGAGGAGGAGCAGGAGCAGGAGCAGGAGCAGAAGGAGCGGGAGCAGGAGCAGGAGCAGGAGCAGGAGCAGGAGCAGGAGCAGGAGCAGGTAGCAAAAAGCAGAGAGACAACTAGTACATGACCAGAGACAGATGAGTAGATTTGGCAGTGTTGACTGACTCTACTTTCAGGTGCTTGAAGAGTCTGCATGACGAGCCTTTCAAGATCCAACTTGTCGCACAGTCGGCCTCTCTGTTGAACCACAAGGCTCTGAGTTCTTCTCCTGCTCCTAACCATGTCGCTCTTGGTCCTGCCGTAAAAGTCAACGGGCCAGAACCTCTCGAAGCCGCACACAATGGCGGTGAGCACGATCGACCAGCTGAGAGCAAGGATGCAGAACAATGCTCCAGCTCACCAACGACCTTCTCCTCTCTCCTCCTCCTCCTCCAATCATCCACCATCTCAGTTCCATGTGGATCCACAGCCTTCATGGCATCGAGCCCCTCGTCTTGATAGACCTTCTCCTCCTCTTGAGTTTTCTTCTCGCTACTCCAACAGCAGCAGCATGGACAAGCTCAGATCTCTCTCTGGCTACCGCCATCCATCCAGCGGCCTCCCTCCTCCCGAGCCCTTTCTTCCTCCCCCGTCGCTCTCAAAGTCGCTGCCGTCCTCGAGGCCCTCCCTGCCTCCTGCTGAACCTTCCTTCTCTCCTCCAGTGCTCGGGGGAACGAGACGAGCGGGAAGCAGCAGTGTGGAGAAGAGCTCGATCATGAGGGAGAGAGGTCCGCCCTGCTCCTTCCTTCTCCTCGCTAATCTCAGCCTGCAGAGCCTGAGGAGGAGGCGCCAAGACTGAGGGTGGCGAGGAGAGAGACTGTGCAAGGGAACGTGAGAGCCATCGACTTCACTAGCGTGGAGGTGAAGAGAGGGAGAGCTGAGGAGGAGGAAGCGAACAGGTAGAGCTTCTATCGAGGAGAGGAACAACTGAAATGGTTCCATGCAGAGCGCCAGCATCGCGAGGGGAAGAGACAGGTCGGAGGGATGCGGCAGGAAAGGAGCAGCTGACAGGTTCTTACTTGCCCTGCAGTCATGGAGGACCAGCTGGAGCTTGTGGCGATGTCGCTGAGAGGCGATCAGGACGAGGCAGAGGGCGTGCGCAAGGGGCTGCTGATGCTTCAGGTACCTCTGATGCGAGCTGATGGGTCAGATGACGAAAACTTTGCAGCAATTCCCTGAGGAGAAAAGTAGAGAGAAGGGAGTACCGGTCAAAAAAGTCTTCACAAGAAGCTCCTTGCAAGAAACAGATTATTCCTCTTCCCTCGGTCTCCTCTCTTCGCTCCTCTCTTGTTCAATCCCACATCTGTTTTTTTCCTTTCTTCTCTTCTCTCACATCTCTCATTTTATCTTATCTGTCTCCGCTCCTCTTCTCTCCTCTTCTCTCCTCTTCTGTTCTCCTCTATTCTCCCCTCTCCTCGTTTTTTCCTTCGTCTCATCTCATCTCGTCTCGTCTCATCTCATCTCATCTCATCTCATCTCATCTCATCTCATCTCATCTCATCTCATTTTTTATCGCTTTCCTCTCCCATTTCTCCCTCATGGCGTCTCGCAGCTTCCCCTGGATCAAGTGACGAATCGAAAGCGTCCGAGTCGGAGGATCTGCCCGCCTGCCCCTCCGACTTTGTCGCTCGGGTCTGTCAGCTTCTTTCTCTGCTGCTGCTGACCGCTGTCAAGCTCGCCATGCTCGAGAGCTGCGTGCTCCCGGCCCAGTGAGACTGAAGGGGATGCGAGGCCAGCAAGCTGACGAGGATGAGGGCAGGACGTGGATCTTCGGCTCTGAGATGAAGGCGAGATGTGTTGAGACGTGGAAGGCGCACAACAAAGGTTTGCCTCCTCCTCCCTTCCCTCCCTCCTAGAGACCTCCACCCCCCAGGTCAGCTCTCGATATCCAAGGACGAAGTCTTGGACGTCTCCTTTCACGATTTCAAATCTCAAGGGATGGATTGGATCTTCGGGGTGAAGGTGATTGAAGGCGACGAACACGACGAGCGGAGCTCAGTATTGTTTGCAGATAGGAAATCATGAGACAAGAACGATGAGGTTCCCAGGAGATCTCTCCCTCCTGCGAAAGAGCTGCGGCTACTTTCCTTTTAGGAATGTTCATCTCTTCAATGCCAGAGATCCAAATTTCTCATTGCCAGGTAAACCATTCCCCCTTCTCTTCCTCTGTCTCCTTCTCTTCCTTTCTCCTTCCTCCTCACTCCTTCCTTCTACATTCTTCCTGCTGCCTCTTGTCTCTTCTCTCCTCTTCCTTCTTCCTCTTGCATTCTTGACGAGGTTGCAAACAAGACCACATCCCAGGAAAGCAGGAAGAAGAGCTGGTGCCCTTGGCAGATGTTCCCCTCTGGCGGGAGCAGACAGCGCACGGCAAGGAGAATTCGCTCGACGCTATCTTCCAGCAGCTCGGAGCCTCCTCGACGGACATGGGTTGTTGACGTCCGACGGTTGTCAAAGTGTTTGACGCGACCCAGGTGGGGGAGAGGTGGAGCAACACAACCTGAGCAACATCTGGGACGACTCTGGGCATGACCCGGACTCCTCCCTCCCCGTCATCACCCCAACGACCGATCGCTCCGAGTCCACCAATACGACCACAACCCTCTCAGAGTTCTTCAGCAACATCCATAGCAGAACCCCCAGCAGCCCAGCCCTTCCCGATGCTCCTCTGCTCCCTCCTCGTGCCAAGTCTCCCTTCACTGACAAGCCGCAAACAGACTCGCATCCTCGTCCCAAGGATGCGAGGGCTGACGTCTCTTCCTCGCAGTCGCTTCTTGCCCACGAGCCGCAGGGTCAGGAAGGAGGAGAAGCGCCTCGTACCATCATCGTGCTGAGGAACGAGGGGCAGGCGACAGAGAGAGTCGGTCTCGGTATCTCCATTTCCAAGCCTCAGCCCAACGGCCCTGCTCACGTCGTCTCCGTCCATCCTCAGGTCTGTCCCAGCACAGCTCCCTGCTCCTCTCCCTGCTCCCTCAGCCCTCAGCTCTCATCTCTCACTTCTCTCCCAGGAGGCAGCGGGCAAGAGCGGCCTGCTGCAGGTCGGCGACTTGATCCACGCGGTCGACGGGATGAGCACGTGGGACCTTGCTGTCCACGTCATCGATGCTCTGCTGGTCGGGAACCCGCGGAGCATGGTGGCGCTTGCAGTGACACGAGGAGACGAGCAAGAAAGCGGAACCGAAGCAGCGCAGGGCGACGCTGAGCGAGCGAGACTGAAACAGCAAGTGATACAGCACATGTTGGACTCAAACCTGATCAGCATGCACCACTTGCTGCTATCAGGCGAGTTCGAGGTGAATCAGGTCATCGAGCACGAGCAAGGAAAGACAGCTCTCCACATGGCTGTTGAGAACGACCAAGTCGAGTTCGTCGACCTGTTGCTCAAGCACCGAGCTGATCCTTCCTTGCAAACTAGCAGCAAGCAAACCGCTATGACGATGGCAGAAGCCCTTCACTCTCCTGCCATCAAGCTCCTCCTGGAAGCCTATGAGGCTGATCGCAGACAAACCTTGCAGGCGCAGGAGGATGCCGCTAGGAGGAGCGTGATGGGGGCAACTGGCGGGACGTCGGACGATGCTCCACCTAGAGGATTCTTCCGATGCCTCCCCTGCCTCGGAGGTTCATCCTGCTTCGTCCGCACCCTCGATAATGCGCCATGACATTATCTGGCGAACTGCCGCTAGCTGACTTGACATCTTCAAGACGATCAAGCAGAGCGCGTGTGAATCAGATGCAACATGTATGCGAGGTGACAGCGACATGATCAAACGGATCATCTCGTGATGCACGCCTGGACCCATCGCCATTATTTACTTCAGTTTGACTATTCTTACTATAATCCGCTGCTGTCTCTTCCAAACTCTCTTTTCCATGAAGAGCAGTGTCTCGCTTTCCCCGCATGAAGACAGCCGAGGATTCCTTGCGCGAGAAAAAGACAATCACAATCTCAGTACATGTCTCCGAGTTCATCTGCTAAGGTCTTGTCATCGTAGTTGTTCCATGCTTTGCGGTTGTCTGTGAGGAGACTGAAAACCTGTATGAATGCATGTCACGATAGCTGAATGATCTCATCTTGATCAAACCGGGGTGAGGTTGGGAAATGCCGCTGCAACGAGTTTGTAGTACGGCCCGATAACAAAATCAACAAAACCCTTCTGCAGAGCAACTCTCCCCTGCCAAGCAGCAGTCAGTCAATGCCTCACTTCAGTGGCTCCTTTTGTACCTGCGACGTTCTGTCGCACATAGGAGTGAGCGGCATTCCAGATGCTTTCTCCTTGTCGCCTGTTCCTGTGTCAACCATGCATACATCTGTCTAGGATACACGATACCTTGCAAGAAGAATTCATCGGTCACGCGCATGGCCCATTTTTTCGCTATATCAAAAGGCTTCAACACCTGAAAGATTTCAACGTTACAAACAGAATCGGACAATCAAAAGCTTGTAGTACATTCGACGTGTCTGCGCACTTAATTATAATCTCCATCTCAAATTGCTTGTCCATCTTCCGATCATCAGGTGGGGTATTGGGATCCGTAAGACGTTTCAGCTTTGTTGTGTACTCTCCATGCCTGGATCGAGGTCAGCGTTTCATCAAATCACATTTCATGCATTTACCTTGCCATATCCGTTGCCAAGATATTGTTCAACACAACAGCTCTGCAAGTAAAGAGTTACGTGAAGCAAAGAATCGTCAGTGAGGTACCTAAAAGCGATGTATTGCGCATTTGTGAATTCGGATAACAGTTGAATCTCAGAATGTAACATAAGCTGCAGAATGATGATCACTACATAACAATAGCCTATCAACAAAATCTGCCTGAAAGGCTCTGCAGCAATGGTGGTTCTCCAGTACCGAACGATCGTTATACAAAGTAGCAAGATCGGAACGCGAAGAAACAAGAAATCTGAACCAGACAGGTATCAGCGCATCAAAAGAAGGCACAAAAATCGCTATTACGGATTGTTGACTCCAGGGTGCTCCAAGTCGTGGCAAAGTGCCGACACGATCAGGGCGAAATACTCTACATCAGTCAGGGTCTTGTATGTCTCGCCGGTGAGAGACATGCAGTAAACAGTCTGACAAGATGGAACCAGTTCAGTTCTCAACAATGATTCTGAAGAGCAGTTCGACCTGGGTAACATCGAAGGCATGAAACCAGTTGTGATAAGGATTGTCGAACATGCAAGAACGAACACAGCTGATTTGCTACTGGTCACGACTTCGAGAGCACCGATCGAACAATCTCACAGGATGAATTTCTTCAATTTCTCCTCGGAAACATTAACTTTCTTCGGGAATTCTTGCTGCACGGGGGTGTTAATGAAGAGATGATACAATGATTGATAGAAAGCTTTGGTCACAAATACGCAAGACTTTGTCAATACAAAAAGCTTACTTCAAGGAAAATCTCCAGGGTAAGGTGTAAAAGGTCATCCGAACTGAAACTGAGTGCATCGCATTCCAAAGATTGCAAGACCTGCACTGGCAAAGTCATTCATGGGGACTAATTTTTCAGGATTTATGACCCTCTTCCCCCGTTGAAAGGCTTCTTCGTTTCTCTTAGGCCACTCCATTGCAGACGAAGTTAATGTCATCGCTAGCACACAAACCCAGTAGCTGTTGTAATGAGAGGATCTCGGAGGCCAAGTCCAATCATGCAAGCTGAACCGGATTTAAAAATGTAGGCTCTATGCAACACTTGATATTCCTGCCGGTGCAAGTTAGACAAGAATACATGACGACGTATTCCAGGTTTCAAACCTACATTCTACAGCATGCATAATTGTTTTTCGATTGACTACAGACACATGGGTAGCTAAAGTGGACAAAGCCGCTCGCAAATACTCCAAAGAAGAGAAGAAACCCTTGCTAAACCCCCTCAGTAACTGTTCATCACATGCATTGACCACCACATGGTTTCCCAGCAATGCACTATCAGTAGAAATCAGACGAAGGCTCCGAATACACCAAAGTTGAGTTGATAATAGCTAAAACGCCTTGGAAAACTTCTCGCTTGAGCCTCATAGCTGTGCATTTCACTTAAACGCTGTCGCCACCTGGTTGCTAAACTGGTACTGCATCCAGCGCTTGTGTGTCCTGCAACTGCCCTATTCTCCCAAAACTCCCCAAGGAACGAACTCAAGGAAATTTTGGTATGTTTGCGTTGTTTCATTCTCATGTTTTTCCTCCTCTCTCGGACTCATCCTCCATGTCCTCTCCGTCCACACTCACTGCCCAAACATTACAAAACGCAACCGCGCCGCCTCTTACTACCCTACCCTACCCTACCCCCTGACATGTCCAGATCATTGACTCTCATACCCAATTCATTTCAATACACTACCCCCTTGATCATCGAGTAATAACCCACCCCAGGTACCCCTGTGTCTTTACACAATGTCCCAACAAGCACATCCCACCCCAACTCATGTACCAATGACCCCCCCCCCCCCCATAGTACCCTACCTGTGCAACTCAACCCTACTTTCATGACCCCACATCACTCGTAATAGCAAAATCTCCTGATATTCTTAGGGGTACTGCCAGATGGACCATCTGGACCACCCTACCTCATGTCCCACGATTCCTCGATTCCATGGCCTTTTTCCATTTGGATTCACCCACCCCCACAATTTCCTTGAATCTGCTCCTACCCTACCCTCCAGCGCACTAACGGCTCCCGATCTAAAAAATTTCAGCATGACACAGTGTAGAGATGGGATGAGGGGGTAGGGTAGTTGTGTACCAGTCAAGACTTCCAATGGCACCCTACCTCATGAAAAACACTACCCCACCATACAATTGTTTTTCAACCCACCCCCACCTCACCGTGGCCACAAAAATGGAGGCCTACTAAGGGGTCTATCACTACCCCATGTGGTTCCACCAGTACCCCATGTGTCCTCTACGTCTCACTTTCTTTGAACTACAACCCTAGCACCCTACCCTGTATCTGTGTTGACCCACCCATAATTAGCTCATATGACCCCACCCCCCTTTCACTGCCTTTACCCCTACAAGGGAGTAAAAACACCACAAAGTATATAATAATATAATTCATTTTCACAACTGGTAGTACAAATCAGGATACAATAGGGATTTTATGTACTTTTAAATGAATTTAGCTTTTGAAGACGTATGCAGTTTTCTCCTACCCATCTGTACCATATTATAATGTAAAATAGCATACGTACAAATCATATCTGAGGCTGCTCAGAAGATATATATCTAAATTTATAAAACAGTTGTATATAAGAGCTGGGTTCTACTCAACCGTGTGACGCAGCCGGCGGGCCGCGCCGGCGGGCGGCCGGGGGCGGGACTCCGGACCGACCCCGGCGAGGCCGGGCCTGGTGCACCGCGGGCCCCCACTGTCGGAGTGACGGCTTCTCCGGGCAACGGGTTTGAATTAAAACTTGCTTGATTGAAAAGAATAAGGAATAACCATCAGTATCTACAAAGCGCACATGCGTGACTTGAAAAGAAGCTCGGAGCCAGGGGGCGCGGCCAGCAGAAAATCATAGTAGCCCTCAGAATGAACTCCTGCGAACAAACAAGTTGCAATTAGGACCGTTGTTTGACATTTCGCTATTGAAAGCGTCAATCTCATTCGAGTGGCTCAACGCTCTTGAGATGTTCTCCTCAATCTTCGCTTGCCGCAGGATTCGAGCATTCGTGCTGCTCTTCTGAAACCGATCACTGTTGGAAGTGAGCGAATGGCGCTGTCGGGCTGGAGGAGCGGCGAGTTGATTGAACGAAGGAGGTCTCACAACCCTTCTCTCGCCATGCTGATTCTTGTTTGACTCTGAGCAATGCAGAAGGCAGTGGACAAGAATGGCACAGGCCTCTCCCTCCAGCTTCTTGTTCTGTATCGCCTTGGAGATGTTTAGAGCCTGGTTCGCGTACTTCGACGCATGATCGATCTGGTGCAACTGCAAGTGTATCCGCGCAAGAATCTCATTCGCTCTTCCTTCCATCGATCGATCCTGCGCGGACCTAGCCACTTCTAGCGCCTGCATACCGGAACGAATAGCACGCTCCAACTCCGAGACGGAAAGACACTTCTCTGCAAGAATAATCGAGGACATGCACTCAAGTTCCTTGTCCCCCGTCGCCTGCGCATGCAGCATCGACTCCCGCAAAGACTTGATCTCTAACGCCATCACAGGATCCACGTTGGGCCCAAAACTTGAGCCTCGCCGCCCGTCCGTTGACGTTCTCCTTGATCCCCCTTCGCTCGATTTCACTCTAGTTTCAACCACAGGTGCTCGACGATGATCTGCAGCTTTATCCTTATTATCTTTGTCGATCAAGCGCGTTGTTTCTGACGACCAAATTCGCAAAACGAAGTATGCAACACATGAAGTGAAGAGTATGAAAGCTAAAAGAACCAATGGTGAAGCTTGGGACCAAACCAAGTAAGGCCACGCGATCGTCATCATGCTTGAAAAAACCTGCAAATGATGAAAATGAGTGTTTGAATTTACACGCAGAAGCGAGTCATGAGAAACAAGAAGAAGGGATCAAACTTCTGAACGTGGAGAGTAAGGCTGTTTCAAGGAAGAGGAATATGCAGGGAATCTCGCGCTTCAAAACGAAGGGGTTGACAAGCAGACTAGGATTGTATGAATAAGAAGAGATGAACCGATGCACAGGACGACGTGACACAAGATAAATCGAAAAGCCCCGCCAAATCATTGGAAATACAAGGGAAGAGGTTCAGAAAGAGAAAATTGCAAGGGAACAAGGACCCAAGGAACAAACATAACAGAGAGGACTCATGTTCTGCGGAAGATGAAGGGAGGAGGAGGAGGATGAATGCGGGGGTGCCATCCATAGCAAGCATGTGCCGCGCAACATTTCGAGCATGCCACCGATGGATGGAGACCGCGTTTTCTTTTTTATGGGTCCCAATTCTGAGGTGGTCCGGTACAGCGATTAAAGCTGAAAGGAGGGGTAGTCTGAAAGTGGATTTGATGGGTAGTTGACAGCTACATCCACAAAAAGTTGATTTGCTCGTTTGAAGGGGTAGGGTCATATTATTAACGAGAGTTTCGCAGGATGTGTTCTAATTCTGCTGAGGAAATCGCCGGATGGGGACCGGACAATCTTAACGGAAGTGTAACGTCAACCGAAACGGTGATAACCAGACGTAACGGCTCAACTGAAATCCGAAACCCTCTCCAACTACCCTCCCCTCGCTTCCCGCCTTCCCTTAGATACACCCTGCTCCGATGTTCCCAGATCCCTCTTCCAGCCTCTGTGCTCCCCTTCTGTTGTCCTTCGGTCTCTTCTCTTATCAACGATGATCGATCATCACCCTCTTGCAATGATCTAGTCTTGTCTTTCACGACCCTTCGTTGTCATGACTTGACGACCGTCACGACCAATCAATCGCACAACTGATTGTGATTTTTCATCTGCTACGTCTCTTGTCATTCCTTGATTGTCTTTGACCCGTTATGAATATCTGAGTGTACGCTCCTTCTACTTCTCTATCTTTATCTTGACCGTCGCTTCTTTTCCTGTACCCTCCTTTCCGGCCTTCTGCCTCTACAGTTTGTTCTGTAGCCTTGCACACCTTCATCTCCATTTTGTTCTCTTGGTGAGAGTAACTTTCTTGCTAGGAACATTTCCCATTTAGTTTCCTACGGAACATTGGTCGATTTGGAGACAATCTTCGGTTTTGAGTGGTAATTCCCCACAAGTCTTTCATCGGTCCATGGGCAGACATTGGTTTCAACAAGTTTGATCCCGATTGTCTTAGTTGCCATGCCTAGTCGCCCACAAAGATTGAACAAGAAGAGATTGCTACTGCCCAAGTCGCAAGTGGCTGAGAATCCGAATGTTGCAAAGAATTTGAATGTTGCAAAGAATCCAAAACCATTCCTACCAGTGGAAGATTCGTCCAAGAACAAGTCATCCAACAAGCAAGAAGACATACTCCGGGCGATCGGGGATCAGCCTGTCACTGAGCGACAAATCTTGTCAGCTGTTGGCGACAATCGATACACGCGAGAGATTCTAAGGCGCTTGATGGCACTATCTGTGGTGGAGAGGATGGGAAAGGGAGGGTCCAGCGAACCTTTCTTGTACAAGGTCGTCAGATCTCCCTCTGAAGCACTGCGAGAGGGGTTGAAGGATCCAGTGGTGGAGATGCGGCTGAAGAGAGTAGAGGACAGGATCATCAGCTTCTTCAAGCTCCACCAGGAGCTCGTCACAGAGAAAGTCATCCGCTCCTTCATTGGCGATAACACTGGGACAGGCAAGGCGCTTCGCCGGTTGGTTAGCTCCAGGAGGATACATCGGATCGGCAAGGGAGGGGCAGGAAACCCCTTCCTGTATCGACTGAACGTCTTGGACGAGAGCGGAACGGAGGAGCAAGTTTCAGAGGACGAGGACAGCGAGGGGCTTGTGGTTGCGAAGGATCAGGACATGTCGGACAGAAGTACCGTCGCCTCCACGTGCTGCTCAGATATGGAGGAGCAGGAGGTAGGAGGAGGGTCTTACAAGGAAGTCGAAGGAGGAGCAGCAGCCGGGAGTCAGGGCAGATTCTGCTTTCCGGAAGGGGAGGGCGAAAGGGAACAGTTTGGCAAGTTGTTTTCATCTACAGATGCGTGCAGCGAGCTTGATGGACTTGAAGACGACTCGTTGGATCTTGACGATGGTGCTATCAACTATCCTGTCTGCTTGCAAGCGAAGGCGCTGAAGGAGGATGATATCGTCCTGCCCGAGATGAAGGGTGGAGGGGACAGCACCGATCTGCTCCAGTCGTTCCTTGAATGACACCGGCTCGTGTCCTGGTCGTATGTGGAGAACGGTCGATCAGTGTGAAGACGCCGCAGGATGTGTTGAATGTTTAATTTTTCACCTTGTTATGTTTAAGTTGTTATGCAATGTATGTCTGCTATTCCATCATTCGCAACGTTTGCCGAGTGCTCAGGGTTCTGTTAACGCAACATGCAAGCTTGTATCGCCATGTCCTGTACAAGATCAAGGATCGCACAGGCCGGGACTTCCTCCCCAATCTCTTGTGCTACCTCGCGGCAGATGCTGCCCCTGTATCTTTCTCCTCCCTCCCCATCCTCCTTGATTTTTCCATTTTATTCCTGATCCCCCTTTTCCCTACTCCCATTGCGTCCCCTTTCTTTGCTGTGTGACCCCTGCCCGCGCTTGCTTGTCCTCCTCCTCCCCCTCAGAGGTTTCTCTGACCTCTGCTGTCTCATGCATGCTTCCAGCCCTCCTCCTCTTTCTCTTCCTCCTCCCTGGAACAAATCCCTCCTCGTCCCCTCCAACCTGCGGCGCAAAAAGCTCGGGCCTTGAGCTCCACCTACAACGATGTGAGCTAGAGGGTCTCGACTACGTCTTTGTCAACTTCACTGTGAGGAGGGAGGAGGAGGAGGCAAGGTTTTACAAGACTTGCCAGCAGCTCGACTACTTTCTGTTGACCAAGGACGAGCTCGAGAATGGCAGGTCGGTATCCTTCGCTTCCCTCTGCACATGCCGGCCTGTCGGCGACCGTGCTCTCTGCCAGGCATCTTTCCCCTCCACCTCCCCGCTCGTCACTCTCGTTGGCGTGTGCATTGCTCCAAGATCTCCGCGCTCCTCTACTTCTGACAGCCGATGCGCATGGCGGGAAGTACCAACAGTATCATCTTGTGGAGGAGAAAAGGAGAAGAGCATCAGGTGTGCGGGCAGCAACATGTCCACCCGCATCCTCCATGTCACCCGCCATAGCGGCTTGTCCTCTGAGATCGCCGGCATCTTCCACCGCTTCCCCTGCGTGTACCTAGAGACGTTTGACTTCAACGACGGCGTCAACTTGGACTCGGAGAGCTCGGGGCTCAACTACAACGTGAACAGGAGGAGGGCAGAGCTGGTGTGGGAGACATACCGGATCTTCTTCCAGACCTTTGACATGGTCCTGGTCTCCGACACGACCCCCATGGCCCGTCCCTTCCTCGAGGGCGACCGCTGGAGAAAGCCCATCCTCCTCTACGTCTGTAATCGTTTTGACTTCTCCAACCAGGACATCGATTTCCAGCTCGCGCAGGAGGAGATGGCAACCTCCTACTTCCCGGACGAGGATTTCTACCAGCTCATGCGGGAGCTGACACGTCGACCCAACGTCAGGCTGGTAGCAAGCAACCTCTTCGAGAGCTGGTACGCTCAGCACTGGCGCGGCATCGACTGGTCGCATGCTGAAGTGATCTATCCTCCTGGCGTCGGCAATCAGCGACCCTGGAAGGAGGAGGGAGAGGAGAGCGAGCTCAGGGCTGGCGGGACTGCCTTCCTGCTCCCTCCGGGAGTGTACGCCTTGCACAACGAGGAGGAGCGCGAGGTGAACGTGGAAGACACAGTGCTGGTGCCTGACCGGGGAGTCGTCGGAGGAACATGCAAGGAGGAGGGAGGAAACGTTGCGTTCATGAACAACGAGATGAACTTCGGCGTCTCTTCCTTCCTCCGCTCCAACGGGTTCCGCGTGTACAATGGGAGGTACAACGGGGCAGAGGAGGCCGCGAGGTTCAAGGCCATGGTCAGGATCCCTCAGAACTACATGTCCACCTCCTTTCACCAGCTCCTCGGCGCCGGTGTGGCGATGCTGGTGCCTACCCCTGACTTCCTCCTGCAGCTCAGCGTCGATCCTGCCTTCTGGTGGGACACCAAGTGGGATGTACAGGAGCACAGAGCTAGGATAGAGCAGAGCGGGAGGTGGAGGTGCCCGAAGCTCAAGAGCACGTTGAGTCAGGAGACCATCATGTTCGCATACGAGTACGACAGCTATCACGCGGCCTCGCTCATCTTCTTCTCCAGCTGGGAGGACCTCGTTGACAAGCTGAGAACTGTTGACTTTTCCCGCCACAAGGAGCAGGTGAGGAAGTTGGCGGAGCTTCATCGCCGCACCTACCTGCAAGAATGGGAAAGAGTCTTCCTCGAGCTGCGGGCTCTACAGCTGTGAGAAAGGCTTCGGAGAGGAACCCTCCTCCTCCTCCTGCTCCTGCTCCTCCTCCTTCCCTTCCCTTCCCTGTTCCTCTTGCAGCACATGGTCCGCTTGCTCGCTCGTCTCCCTTGCCAGTGACTGCTCCATTGCCTCCTCCCCCTTGCAGTTTTCTTCAACCTTCTCCTCGGCACATGGAGAGAATGAGGGCTGTCGCGTGCGTGAACCTTCTTCACTTCCTCCTCTCCCTCTCCCTCTCCATCCTCCCTTGCGTACCTGGGGGCAGCTCATCTCCTGGCTCGGGAAGCTGCTGGAGGCACTGCCGGAAACGTCATGCTCGCCGCTGGAGGCCTCGAAGTTCATCGGAGTGCTTGTGCTCTGCAGGGCGTCAGGGACGCAAGAGGAGGTTGCGATCACAATGACAGCGAGAAGGAGGGAGAAGGGAAGGAGAAGACGAAGAGGAAGACAAAGACGAAGGGAACGACAAGGACGAGGAGGAGGGGGAGGAAGGGGCAGGAATGCGATTAAGTTTACCTTCTGGGCGCAGTGGATTGAGCTGCTCTTTGCGGAGGAGCAGTCACTGGATCCGACGTTTGACTGGGGGGTAGCGAAGGGGAGGAGAGCGTGCGAGGGAGTGCGGAGGTCGTAGCTGCTCCTCGTCTTCTTCTGCGGGGATGGGGATGAGAAATCCAGCTCCTCGTCCACTGGCCTCTTGGCTGGAGCATCTGCCACCATTTCATGATGAGCATGAGAGGAAGGGAGGACAGGAGCAGAACAGTGCAGATGAGAAGGATGGAGGACAGGAGAGGAGGAAGGAAAGGAGAGGAGGAAGGGAAGGAGAGGAGGAGGATGGGTCGCATCTGGGGTAGAGGGTGATACCAGCATGTTCCTCAGTAGCAACTGATCTGACGGCGTCTTGCTGTACAGTCGATGCTCCTCGGTGCTGGTGTGTTCGTTTGCTGGCCTCTTGAAAGTTGCCCTCCTCCTCCGCTGCCGCATCTTTCTCTCCTCCAGCCCTGCCGTCCTCCTGCTGTAATCTTCATCTTCTAGCGAGCAATAAAAGTTCCTCACATCGGCAGTTACGCTTGTTGCCTGCGCAATCTTTTGACTTCCTGCCATCCCTGCTGATGAAACATCGAGAAGAGAAACGTCCTCTTGGCGTCCGCATTCTTTCCTGTTTCGCCACCATCCTCGTTAGCAACATTCTCCCTTCCCCAGCATCCATCGCTTCCTGCTTCTCCTTCTCCTCTTCCCATCCTCCCACCACCACTACCACCTCATCCCTCTTTTCATCTTCTTCTTCCTCCTCTTCCTCCCCCTCGCTCAGCTCTCCTTTTTCTGAACAATTCGCTCGCTCTTGACTCATTCCTCACCGTTTGCTTCCTCCTGTTGCCTCCTCGCTCTCATAAGAGTTGTCCACCGACTGCACAAACTGCTGGACTGTCTGCGAGATCCGCTTCTCAATGATTGACATGCACCTGCGCCCATTGAGGTGAGGAGAGATAACCAAGTAGCATTAGCAAGACATGACAACTATCGAGCTGTGAATGTCAAAAGATCACTCTCTCACCTCACAAACTCTCATCTCACAGATCACGGTAATGCAACTTACATCTTGTCCTCGGCAGCAGATCGAACAAAGAAGTTCAGTTCCAACGCCAACCTTTCATTCAAGAACGCATACTGCCCTGCCTTTCAAAATGACAAAGATGAAGATCAAGCACCTTTTCCATCTCCTGCGAGCTCAGTTTGATTCCTTTCCTCACGGCAGAATGCTTCTCAAGTAGCAAAAGGCATTGGCGCTCAAGGACAAGAATCTGCTTCACGTGTCATGAATAGAAAGTCTTGATGAAACAAATCATCATCTTGCCGTCTTGTTGAGTAGGGGAGAGACGCTGGTGAGAGCTTGGTCCTTGTCATATGCCTCCACAACCTCCAACGTCCTGCTCATCACGTTTCTCTGCGCAAAGATCGCCTCCAACTTCTCCTCGATCATCGCCAGCGTCTGAATCCCCTGCAAGGAGCGAGTTCATACTGAGCGACTGCTCGCAAGTCAAGGCACCTGCTGCACGTGCATGATAAGCTCTGCCTCCTTGCGATCTCGCACAACCCGGGGCATCATTGAAACAGCGCAGGACAGATCTGCGAGCCTGTCATGGCAGACATGCTGACCGATCCTGCGCCATGGCCACGAACCTGCGAAGGTCGACCTTAGGAGCTCCATCGCGCCAAGTTGTCAGAGCAGCAAAACTTTCATATCATGTCGAGCATATAGTGCTCTCAGAGTTGAAGCAGCTGCCTCCTTCACCAATGAACCTGAAGGGAACAGCAGGACAAACAAGTCAGATCAAGATCAACACAATGGCTAGAGAAGGAGGGTGAGAGGTAGCAAACCGGCTGCTTGTTGGCTAGAATGAAATGAAGAGGAGATAACTGAAGGATGGAGTGTGCCCATTTTAAATGAAGGAAAGAATGTCCATAATTGCTCAGAATGCGGTCAAGATTTCGATCCTCGCTGCAGGAGATTGCAATCCTCGCTGCAGAGCTTCAGTTTCCTTGATCAAGACTTCACCTAGCTCCCTGCTCCCTGCTCCCTGCTCCCTGCTCCCTGCTCCCTGCTCCCTGCTCCCTGCTCCCTGCTCCCTGCTCCCTGCTCCCTGCTCCCTGCTCCCTGCTCCCTGCTCCCTGCTCCCTCCAGCTACTGTCTGCTCCTATCACCCCTTCTTTGCTATGTGTGAGGAGGGGTGGTCGAATATTTCGGCTCATATAAAAAAGCGACAAGTTCCACAAGATGCGACACGAGGGCGAGGTGAACCCGTTGAAACATTGAAGGATGCGACTACCTGCAGAGGATTTCACAAGACCAAAGCGAGCGAGAGAGGGAGGGGGGGAGGGAGGGAGGGAGGG